CGGTGTCGCTACGAAAGCAATAATCATCCTTATCGTCTTATCGCCCCATTCAAAGTGGAGGAACATAGCCTGGATCCATTGGTGTTGACATTTCATGATTTTATCGACGACATAAAGATTGCCACCATCAAATATATGGCCGAGCCTCGCATGCAACGCTCCACTGTGCGCGACGTGGTGACCCTATCAAAGGCCACTGACTTCCGCATTAGCAAGAACGCTTGGCTGGGCTATCAGGAGCACCCTTACATGTTGGGTATGTTGCGTGATTTGCGCGATATAACCGGCCTCGATATGACACGCTGCGAAAAATTGCAAGTAGCCAATTATGGACTGGGCGGACACTATGAACCGCACTGGGATTTCTATTTGGTAAGTGTTGCAACATACATAGTAAGTATATAGATGTATGTATGTTATCCTTTGTTTGCTTTTTAGGACATTGAACGCATACCGGTGGGATTGAGTAATCGCATTGCGACTGCCATATTTTACGTAAGTGTGTGTGTATGTGTGTGTGAATTTTGAGCACTTAAATAAGTGTGTTCATGTTAATTTTGAAATTTGCTTGTTTCCTACCCGCTTAGCTTTCTGAGGTGGAGCAAGGTGGCGCTACCGGGTTTCCATATCTGAATTTTGCCATCAAGCCGAAAAAGGGCAACGTACTTTTCTGGTATAATTTGCATAGAACTGTGGAAGGTGATTATCGTACGAGACATGCAGCCTGTCCGGTATTGAAGGGATCCAAGTGGAGTGAGTAATACATAACATACAACTGATTTGATTGCTTAAAGTGAATTCCATTGGAGTGCAGTTAGGCATAGAGGGGCTTTTGGATGTGCAGTTACAGTTGCTCGACTTTACCCAATTACTACTGTCGCGTACGCGTTTGACAGTAACCTGGTAGGGGGTTTTGAAGCGTTTGATGGGCTCCCATGCAAGTCGATACTGAATAATTAATTGTCCCATTTTAAAGCAATAATGATTACTAGACTGCGGATTTTCATGCAGAAAACCCAAAATCAAAATTCATACAAATTTATACACTTTGCTTATAGCTATGTGAAACATATTTCTAGGCTCCGTATTTTGCATAAAAATCCGCAGTCTAATGATTACGAGATCCTCCTTACCCGATGGCATGGGTCTTCGCTACTGGTGAGAGATGTGGTAACCACCCCGTGTGAAGCTTTGGGTCGCGTAAAAAAAGGAGAGAGCTTAATATGTGTTTAGAGGTTCACTAAATTCTGAAACATTATCAGTGGTGGCTGCCAGCGGTTGTCTTGTATTCGAGCAAGTTGTGTCAAAGTATGTCGAAAAATGTTGGCGTCAAAATATGACATAGTGCAAACCATACTTAAAAGAGTTTATCACTATGTATGATATGAACTTAACAAGGATTCGAAGTTTTAATTTTCCAACTTCGAATTCGTTCTACCAAAATGAGCTACATAATAAAAATAAAAGTTCATTTAATTTTTTCGGTATTCGAAATATTAAAGAAATGAGGCAATAGTGAAAAATCAAAATGAGCATTAAAACTGTTTTTTTTTAATTTTGTATTACTTTTAAATGTTGAGCGCATCTTTTGTTTATAGAACTTTTTATTAAGCAAGTAATTTTTAAGCAAAATCACAACCGACTTCAATTCTCATACACAAATTTAGGAGTACCGTTAATTTTTTAATGATCCAGTGATCTGATCTAAACCAAATTATGGGACGACCCTTGAGGAACCATCTTTCCGATTAATGAAATCGGTTCACGCGGTCCAAAGTTATGCGGTAGCAGTGCTGCCAGTTTAGCGTATTTCTCCTTAGATTAAGGGGTTATTCTGGCCATTAGGGAGAAAATAAGGGACCAAATATCTTTAGGGATTTTTTCAAATATCAAAGTTTTTTTTGTTATAAAACTAAGACTTTTACTAAAGTAAAATGGAAATTTTCGTAAATTTAAGAGCAATACACTTATTTTTCGACAAGTTTGCATAACTTTGCCAAAAGTTTCAAAAAAATTTTCTTTCACTACATATGTACATGTGTATAGCTCCTGTAAAGCTCCTGAATTGCTTACCCAGTTGGATAATCATGTTAACGCATATGCTAGCAAAAGTGAATAGCCTTTACTCGTACAAAAAGGAATTTAAGATTAGCCAACTACATCCAAAGAAATGAGTGCACTTTTTTCAGATCCCAAAAAACCCGAAATTCGGCTATATCTCAA